TTTAAAAAAGCTTCAGGTATTGAAAATCTTGGGTTTTCCCCCCTCAGTTAATATTGGGAACCATGGTCACTTAACATCTTACTAGTCTTTTAATGGAAGTCTTTTTGGAAGTGACTTCTGTCAGGACTGCTCTAACTTACCAGCTGCAAGATGGTGCAGTGACAGACCACTGGTGCTAGTGTGAGCTTTAGATTGCAAGCCTAATCCAAAAGACATTTAAAACTTCTTTGCTGTGGTGTTTGCAAGATGGCCACAAACTTTAGTGGGGTTGACCTGCTGGCTATTGAAAGCAGTTCTAGACCTCTATTTATCAAAGGTTTTCTTTGCAGGTGATTTATTTCCTGGTGTTTACAGCCCTTTATGTTTTCTGCTCTAAACTTAGTGTTGTGGGATCTGAATGTAAAGTCTATTCCAAATATTGCTTCTGTCCTCATAACCAGAGGATTATAGTTTCAGCCAGGCAGGGGCCATAGGAAAGGTGGTGTCTTTTACACTGGTACATCTGGGCAGAGGAAAAAGGGTAGTAATTCAAGCTTTTGAGTACACTGAAATTCACCAAAATCAAATGTTGTTGCAGTTCAGACTTATTTTTCCCTTCTTTCTCTCTCTGGTAAATCTGCTCACTGTACTTCACTTGAAATGCAGATGGGACCCTGCTTAGGAAGACATAAGCATAACCTAGACAATCGAAACACTCCCTAACATACAGAGCTGCATCTCCTTCCTTCTCTGTCCCTCCTGAAGAGCGTGTTGCCACAGCACTGCAGCGTGCCACTCGTCCCACCATGTTCCTGTGATGGGAGCTGCAAGTTTTCCTGCAGCAGAGGAGCTTCCAGCTCCTCCTGTTCGTTGCCTATGCTCTGGTGGAGATGCACTTCAGCTGGGCTAGTGATCTCACCCCTCTTCTGGGTGGAGAAACCCTAATCCTTACGTGACCATTCTCAGGCACTTCCATGGTTTCTAACACCTCAGTAACTCCTGTTTTAAACACCCTCAGGATTAGAACCAGTGCAAAGCTACCTGCAAGGCTGACTGTGGTGGGTGGCAGCACCATCTTGTGCTCACTGCTGGAGAAGAGACAGAGGCTTTTTCTTTACTGAACAGACTCTCAACCTCTTTGGCAACTGAGAAAAATAATAACTCTGGGCAAACCCTGGACCAACACAAGACAGAGGCAAATTCTCTTCTCAATGGTCTCTCTTGCCACAGCTGCAGGGAGAGGACTAGAGGGAACAGCCACGAGCTGAGACAGGAGAGAGTCAGATTAGATTTACAAAACATTTTGCTTTTTCTTTACTGAACAGACTCTCAACCTCTTTGGCAACTGAGAAAAATAATAACTCTGGGCAAACCCTGGACCAACACAAGACAGAGGCAAATTCTCTTCTCAATGGTCTCTCTTGCCACAGCTGCAGGGAGAGGACTAGAGGGAACAGCCACGAGCTGAGACAGGAGAGAGTCAGATTAGATTTACAAAACATTTTGGCCAGGGTGTTCAGTTCAGGCACTGGGATATTGCCCAGTGAGGTGGTGGAGTCACCATTCCTGGAGGTGTTAAGAGGTGTCTGGATGTGGCACGGGAGGATCTGGTTTAGGGGTTACAGCAGTGACAGGTTAATGGTTGGACTTGATGATCTTAGGGGTCTCCTCCAACCAAAGGGGTTTAGTAACTAAACACTGGGAATTCATTCCCTGAGACAAACCACAGTTATTCATGTGAATAGAGTGTTCCCTTTAACCAGAAGAGATGAAAGCTCCAGGTTTTGGCTGAATATTGTCTGCCTGGAATTTCAGAGTGTAAGGGACCAAGAACCAACAAACCAAGGAGAGATTTGCACTGAGCCATGGCCCAGCCAGGGATGAGGTGGCAGTGAAGGCAGATGTGGAAATGAATCCACTTTGCTTCTGCCTGAGACAGTGCTGGAAATAAAGGACCTGAGATTCCTTGTGTTTGTGTGCAAAACCTTTTCATTTGCTTTTTGGAGGCTGTTGGAATGTTTCCCTGGGAGAATGTCTGCAGCAAGTGAAGTCATCAGCAGAACTGGGGAGAATAAATATTCATGAGAACACTCTCCCTGCAAAGGCTTTTAGGGCATCTAGGATCACTTTCTAGGACTCAAACAATGCAGAGATTTTGGCAGATAATTTGCCAACAACATAAAAGGACAGGGCTGAGTTATTTCCCTCTTTCTCTCTTTTTAAGAGGCAGCTGATGCTGCAGTGGCAAAGCTATCTTTGATGTGTGACCATCCCAAAGGAACACCCAGAAAGGAAAGCACAAGGTAAGGAAGAAAGGTGAAAAACAGTGAAGTTTAATAGTTATGAAGAAAAACACACAAACCTGAGCAAAACATCCAGGAATCAGTAAAACATCAATTGACAAAGTATCAGTAAAGTATCAACAGCATCAGGTCAGCAGCTCTGAGAGCTGTGAGAAGGCACAAGGGAGCAGATCCACCCTGGGCACTGCTGGGGACAGGGATGGCAGTGAGGCCCCACAGATCCCTGGATCTGTACCTGGAACAGAACAAGGACCATTTGATCCCAGACAGGAGGGGGAGGGAACCCAAACACAGATGTGTTTAGCCACATCTGGGCAGCATTTCCCACAATGGAGCATTGACAGTCACTGCCCAACACCTCACAGGGCTCTGGGAGCAGACAGAGAGCCCCAGCCAGAGTCCCTGCCTCGGTCTGGGGCACACCTGGGCACAGGTGAATATGGGCACTGCCTTGGTCTGGGGCACTCCAGGACACTGGGACACACCAGGGCCCTGGTGACTCCTGGCCCTGCCTCGGTCTGGGGCACACCTGGGCACAGGTGAATATGGGCACTGCCTTGGTCTGGGGCACTCCAGGACACTGGGACACACCAGGGCCCTGGTGACTCCTGGCCCTGCCTCGGTCTGGGGCACACCTGGGCACAGGTGAATATGGGCACTGCCTTGGTCTGGGGCACTCCAGGACACTGGGACACACCAGGGCCCTGGTGACTCCTGGCCCTGCCTCGGTCTGGGGCACACCTGGGCACAGGTGACTCTGGGCCCTGCCCTGGTGTGAACCCTCACGGTGTGCCCACAGGGGCTGCCAGCTGAGCAGGGCAGAGCCTGCTGCAGTACCTCAGGTGATTTGTGCCCCCTGGGCCCCGAGCGGACGGTGCACGCGCTCCTGGGCGCTGTAGTACACCTGCCCACGGCGCAGCTGAGGCTCCTCCTGCAGGTACCAGCGCTGCTCGTCGAACTCGGGGAAGAAAAAGGCAATTTCTCTGCTGGCTGAGGCAGGCGAGTCTGTCAGAAGGGAGAAGAAGGGATAGGAGATGCTGCTCTGGCACCACAAATGTGTGCTGGGCTGCAAAGGCACCCGGTTCAGGCACACCTGGCCAGGTAAGCACAGGGTCTGCACAAGGGAGCACAGTGTTCACCCAGAGCTCCAGGACTGAAGAAGGGCCGTGCCCACCCCGGGGCCCCGAGGCCTACCCGAGCCGTGGGTGGTGTTCCGGGTGTCGGTGAGGCCGAAGGCTCCACGGATGGAGTCTGGGTCAGTGTGCCGAGCTCGGAACACCTTGGTGGGCCCCATCAGGGACCTCCAGAGAGAGACAGCGTTCTCGTGGGCCAGGATGTAAGCCCACATGGGGCCACTGCGGGGAGAGGCAGGACAGGGAGTTACACAGGGCACAGCTG